TCCCTGCAAGATTCAAATGGTTTGTGAATTGCCATTTTTTGGGTCATCATGCGCGCACGCAACCATCAATCATCAAACATGTGCTTCGGCTTCGCAACAAGAGCTGAGTTGTGGTGGCCCAATCAACCCAATGTATTGTTGATAACCTGATAACCGTTATCCGTTATCTGTCGGTGTTTGCCTATGTTCCTCTCATTTTCCTACAATGGCAAGAATAGGCAGGTAGGTAGACTTATACTTATACTTATACCATGCTTATAGGAAACCTATACTTCAGTGGGTGTCAGAGAAAAAAAATGCTGGTAGACTGGGACAGGACACATGACAGTTGTGACACAGGAAGTACATAGGAAATAGATGGGAAGTAGACTCAGCAGATAACATATCCCATTTTCACATCCATTTTTAACATCCATTTTGTGAACACCAACATCCATTCTGGAATCTGAACCTTTTGCCAGATTGCCTCTCATAACCCTAACCAGTGTTGCTGTGCCATCAGCGCTGCAATGGGCAGCATCCGAAACCCTAAACAGTATTGCTTTGCCATCATCGCTGCAATGGGCAGCATCCAAAACCCTAAACAATATTGCTTTGCAATCAGCAGCATCACTACCCACAAGGTGCTGACAAGCTGGATGCATGAGGCATCCCATTGGAAATGCCAATGTCGAATTTTGACAGCAAGGACTTCTGGGCATGGCAAGAAAATGTGCCGACCGTGGAGCCAACTTGCAGGGAATATGCCTGGTCATCTAGCCTTAATAAGGGGAAATGAAAGTCATATTGGGGACTACAACCTGATTTTTTATGTGCTTTTTTTTGTGGTATGAATTGTGGTCACTGTTAGTGTCACGAGGCAGAGCCCAAAAAATATATATATATAGATGGTATAAAAATTCCCATAAAATTCCCAAATGGGTGGTCTATTTTAGTTTTAACCACATTATTTGTAACATTTTGTAACACTTCTCCTTCAAATTTGTAGGGGGTCAATTCTTTCCAGAGACCTGGGGACCGACCGTAACTCTGGTGCGTCCAAGGTCGCGGCTCTAGCTGCTGGTTTGGGGGCTAAGTACATGGGCGGGCCATGTGGGAGTTGTTGTATGTATGTTTGCAAGTTTCTCCCTCTCTTTGCTATAAATAAATATATATCGTATATATATATCTATATTATATATATATATATTTATCTGCGCGTGTGCGCAAGCTGTATGTTCTTGACAATTTCATGTATACTGTAGAGAGGGGGAGAGATTTTTCGCCCTGTTGTTTTGTCTGACGTTTTTCGGTTGTTCATTCTAAGTATAAACAACCTAGGCCAAATGACCAAATCTCTTCCGCAAATGTCTTTGGGTGATCCTCCGGCAGCCGTGAAAAAAATGCCACCGCTCTCAGCCGCTCTCCAAGGCTTGCATGGAGCAGATGAATGGTTGATTCTGAAGGCCCCGGGAAGGGTCATTGCCAGTGGAAGCCTCACGGTGCTTCTCCATGGTTCCACATGGCCTCATTGACAGTCACCCAAGGCCAAGGCCAGTCCGCAAATTTTAGCCGTGTTTGGTCTTCACAAGAATATAAAGCATCACATTTTTGGTGCCATTTTTGGTAATGAAAGATGGCAATGAGAACCCCTGTTCTGAATGGGCATCTAAAACATGGCGCGGAAACTCATCGAACTAAATAATTATATCGGGGAATTTCTCGCAAACCATGTTCGATTTCCAAAGAGTAACTATTTCACGTATTTTGGATGTGGACATGTTAGTAAAAGAAACAGGTGAGGTGCTCTATTTTATGAATTTGGTATGCAGGTGTCGTCATACCCCGTCCCTATTTCCATATGGCAAACTGGCCGTCCACAGGCAATACCAATCAGCCAAGTAGAAACAATATGTTGATTTTTTTTGTGAGGAAGATCTCCCAGTCCCAACTTCAAAAACCCAGAGATTGAGTGAAACCTTGGTAGTCCCTCACATGGCTACATTAGATATATACCATACACCTACAAGTTCCCAATCCAAAAAAGTGGACACTTGGCAGCTTTCAGCCCTGTAACCCATCACAAGTTTCAAAGATTTTGGATCCGCCAGATCTTTGCAAGTTAAACAGGTATTGGTCGGACAGGCAAAAGTTCCAAGAGAAAACGCACGTTTCAACCGCACTTTTAGGCAGCTTCATGCCAGTTTTGAGAAGTGCGCACCACCACTTTTCTTTGCCACTTCATTTGCTCATGTGTCCGATAAAAATGTTTCTCATCACCCCCAGATATTCGCGGATATATTTGTGTCCGATATATTTCCTCATCACCCCCAGATATGTGTCCGATATATTTGTGTCTTCATTGACCTGAGATGTTTGCCTGAGAACCCCACCAATCTTGGTCACTTCCATCGGGGACAAGGCTCAGATTGCTCGAAGAGTTGCAGAATTCGCAGCTGCTGCAGGCTTTAAGCCTCAAGAGGCGACCAAAGCTCTGCTGATGGCATGGACTTTTGGGCCC